GTGGGGACAGCTCTGCCCAAGTCCCCCCCCCCCATAGCTAGCAATCCAAAACAGTCCAGTGGCACCTTTAAGACCAAGTTTTATTCAGGTTCAAGCTCTCCCTCCTCTGTGAGGACAGATCTGCACGTTCCCCCCCCCAATAGCTAGCGATCCAAAACAGTCCAGTGGCACCTTTAAGACCAAGTTTTATTCAGGTTCAAGCTCTCCCTCCTCTGTGAGGATGGATCTGCACGTTCCCGCCCCCCAATAGCTAACAATCCAAAACAGTCCAGTGGAGCCTGAGCGGTGTTGCCTTCTGACACACCTCCGGTGATGTCAGGGGGTGTGGCATATGCAAATAAGTTATGCTAATGAGTTATGCTAATGAATTCTTGCACCTCTTTTTCTACTAAATGACCCCTGGTTATCATGATTTCCAAACAAAAACATTTTTAGAACATGTTTTCTGCAATGATATTCCCTCTTCTTTTAATGTTCCATGGAAATTTTATGATACATTAAGTGTAATATAGTTTGGCTTAATGTCTGAATGTAATAATGTTCTGCTCAGCCACATCTTTGTTTCTGTAAATGTCTATTTTATGGCTTCGTCACAATGTGGCTATGTTGTTTCGTTGTTCGCTGTAAATTTGAAAATAAATAGAAAGCTTCCTTTAAAAAAAAATAAAGCAATAACTACTCCCAAAAATATAGAGATGTTGTCTGTCAGTACAGCCTGCCAAGTGGAGATGCGAACTGCAACACATTTCTGTTCTCTGCTAGGGAACTAGGGAGCGAGTCACCTCACCACCTGGCGGAAGAACAGAGACCTCTGGGTTACCAAGCGGGGGGCACATCCAGCACGGCCAACCTTCTTCACACACACCCCCAGGCCCCCTATTTCTTCCAGTAAAGGTCAATTTCTTCCAAGCCTAGAACTCTACTTCTCTATATTCACACTTCCACATTCGCAGGTAAAATTCTGTACTGAGTAACACAGAGATATCACTGCCTAGTAACCACAATATCGTTTACGTGTTGAGGATGAAACTAAAACAGACCCCGTCAACAACACTAGTACACGTGTCCATCGAAAAGGCAGATCGGTAAAAATAGCATCCCGTTAGCAACCAGTCTTCCTTACTGAGAAGAAACTATAGCACGCAAGTCGCAATGCCTCTGTTGCCACCCAGGAATGGCACCACTTCCCAATCACCCCAACTGTAAAAAAACCACAACCCCCTCTTTATTGTAACACATCGTCCTGCTTTTATAACAATTGAGTTCGGTGGACTCCTCTTCACTGTAACAGAGGAGTGATCTTGGCTTCACTTGTGATCTACACATGTTCTATGTAATTGCAGATCTTGTAACAAAGAGACGCAACTGATGTCTCCCCTGCATCTGCCAAAAACTTCTGACCTGCAACCTTTTGGAACCAACCGTGAGTACATTCATGATTTCGCCAAGTCTTACTCACTTGGAATTGCCACCGGCTAATACGGGGGGGGGGGGATCCTCCCACACAAACAGGCCGCTTTACTACAGTTGGGTGAGAATGGTTTGTTTCAAAAGGACCACGCACTGTTTACAGTACATAAAAAGGCCAAGAAAATGGCCCGTTGTGGCTCTCTGCCTTGTTTCAAATGGATACAAAGACAGTGAATGTAAAGTAAGGGGTACAGAGTCCTAAAGTGGACTATTCAAAACAGTCTCAGGGCAGAGTTTTCCATTATTTATTTACTTCAGTTATACCTCACCATTTCCCCCCCACCCCAATGGGGACTCAAGGCGGCTTACATAATTTTCCTCTCCTCCCTTTTATCCTTGCTGCAACGTCAGGCCTGCAAGGTAGGCCAGGCAGAGAGGGTGGGATTGGACCAAGGTCACCCAGCAACCTCCCACGGCAGAGGGGGGATTCGAACTTGGGCCTCCCAGAGCCTGGTCCGACACTCTAACCACTACGCCACGCTGGCACATTATTATTTGGAAGGATGCAATAACGGAAGAGCAACAGACCGCACTGCTGCGCTGTTGCAAGCCGCCCTGGGCCCTACCTGTAGGGAAGGGCGGCCTAGCAAATCAAATTTAATAAATAAATAAATAATAAAGTCCCGTGACCCACTTTGTTTCTGTGAAAGCTAAAATAATAAGCCACGATTACCAGGCGCAAAAGTATAAGACAGTCAAACGTCGCCACACTACACCACCGCTTTGCACAGCCACCGGTAACCACGTGAGTAAAAAAATGAAACCAGTCCGGAGTCATTTCTGTTGCCTTCAAGGGACGTGTGAACACTGCTGAGTAGCATTCAGGCCCCAATAAACTTATAAGCCAAAGCTGCCCAGCCCGGCTCTGTTGGGGGGAAAATAAGGTATACAATTAAAAAAAACAAAAACAGCCCTCCAGGCAGGAACCTCGCATTCCACAAAACGCAGAAACAGCCACTGCCTATAAAGCGGACTCAAACAGTCCAGATTTCCAGGGATTGAACAGGGGACCCAATGGCAGGCCTCTTAATTGGCCAGGGCAGCTATTTAGTTGGGTGGTGGACATATAACAGGAACACAGAATGGCTCCTGGGGCATGGGTGAGGGGAAGGGGGGGTAAGAAAAGATCCACACTCCGCGCTGTGAGAAACGCCGGCTGCCATTTGGTTCTGTGCCCCCCACCGGGGCTGCCCCTCACCTCGCCTCAGTACTCCGTGTTGTGCATTTTGTGTACAGGGCCAGCCGCCTTGGGATCCGTAAGGAAGAAAGGAGGCTAATGTGTCTTCAGTAACACAAATAAATTACAGATGATGTCATTTAAAGGACACGGAAATCTCGGTACCCCGATTCCAATGCTACCTGGGGCTTCCGAGAGAAGCCTGCGCACACCTTTCAGAAGACCTGCTTTGGGGGGGGGGGGGGTAAGGGGGTAAAATTTGCTGTTGGTAAACATACGGGGCTTAATATTTCTCAGATCTTCAGTCCAGTGTTCCAGCTGAGCTAGTGTGAGCCAGCTCACAGTTATTTAGCCTCCGGCTCACACATTTTTGTCTCAGCTCAGGAAGGAGGGCTCCAGAACAAACAAATTTACGCAGGAGCCCAACTGCTTGCTCACAACTTTCATGCCTGTCGCTCAAAAAGTAGAATTTTTGCTCACAGGACTCCACAGCTTAGAGGGAGCATTGCATTATTTCTCGTAAGAGAAGAGCTCTTATAAGAACAGGGAAATAAAACACAGGAGCCCTCCACCGTACAGGCCCTTCCTGGGATCCGAGAGCAGCCTGCTCGCCCCCTCCCCCATCTCAGACTGGGACCATGGCACAAATGTAAAAGCGGGCTCTTTGATAGATCACTACTGCATTTTTACATGCAAAACTGGTAAGAACTGCCCTCTAGGTGTGCTCTACCTACCCACACCTCTCCAATGCAGACCTGCGGGACGCATCGCATGGGAAGACTCTAGGGGTCAAGTCCCCAGCATCCATGAAACTCACAAACTAAATATACACGTATAATTCACTTGCGCTAGTAAAGCCATCCATTTTAAATCCACGATGAACCACATATGTGTTACAGCGGCTAATTAGGGTTAACGAGTTAGTGCAGTGAGCTGTATGTTAAAATGATATGAGGGAAATGTTCACATTATTTCAGCAAGCATGTTTTAACTTAAATGGGCGGGGAGTTTATTGTCTATATGATGAAGTATATGCCAGACAACAGAGTGCACTCCCGTTCAGAATTAACAGAAAGAAACAGAAAATAAAGGGAGGCAGTAGTAAACGTTCATAATTTGTTAAAATATATATCCAGATCCCAATTCCACATTATCTAAATACGCTGAATTATAAAAGACTGCTATGCTAGACAAAGTTTGCCTCAGACTACTAGCAATCATGTTCTTTAACACCATGAATATAATAATTGGAGATTTCGTAACAACTCTACATTTTAAAGGCTCATAAAATCTACGTTTTACTCATAAGTTGCTGGCGGACAAGAAAAACGGCAGAGTGTGGCACTTTCCTCTCCGTCAGGAATGACTGGAATATCATGCTTTATTTTTACAACGAGCTCCTTTGAAAAGTTTCATCTTTCCTGCATAGCAGAACTTGCAGAATAAAAATCCACTTAACCAGCACGGTACACGCAAATGCACTCCCAGAGAAAGGCAGATAACACAGAAAACAAAGCTGCAAATCCAATATTCTCAGTTGGACCGACCCGGTCAGATGAATATTAGATTTCTAATCAACTGCAAAACTATCCTTGTTCCTTAATAAATCAATCAATCTAGTGCAATTACAGACTCTGTGCCTTTATAGTCTCTGTCTCAAAACCCAAAAAAAGAAGTGAGAATGAAAAAACCAACACTGAGAAGAATGTTTCAAAGGTGCTGAGAAAAGGAGAAAAGTAGTAGAACCGGGGGGAAAAAGGGGGTGGAGGGGGAGTGTGGCGTGGGGCGGGCGCACCAAGTCCTGGACTGGCTTGGACTCAGTCCTCTCTGTCTTTGGGTTGAAATCGTGCCTTAAAAATGTCTTGATCACAAACCCTAAGAAACCCCAACATGTACTAGCGGTTTGTCTCCTACCAGACTCAGGTAAGGACCAGCTCCCATAAAGCAGCCTAGGACAACTCAAACTAACGCTGAAGTCCATGTTGAGATTAAGACAATGGCAGCATCAAGACCTCATCTACCCTTGCCTCCCCCCCCGCCTCTTGTGTTAGTAAACTGCACAGAGGAGGCCGATTAACCTGCATAATGATAATAATAATAATAATAATAATAATGATAATGATAATAATAATAATAATAATAATAATAATCATAATAATAATAATAATAATAATAATAATACTTACTGCTTGTCATGTGACTCGGTGAGGTATGCTGCCCATTGGGTGTGCTTGAGGTGAGGTCAATTGCCATATTAGAGTGCTCCCTTTCGGGCGAAAGTTCGTTGTCACCTGTGTGCAAAAAAAAAAAAAAGGCTGTTATTTCTACGCAGAAAAGTTGTCATTTTTATGCAAAGGAAACCACCCGCTGGCAGGGGTGGGAAAGTCTAGGCAGTGGATGGCTCAATCCACAGACTCTTCCGTGGTTAATTAGAGAGGTGTCCTAATTGCGGCAAAATAAGCCTTGACGTGGGATAGCCCTGTTGGCACAAGAAAGCTCCCCCTCCGGCTCCCCTCCGTAGGGATGGATGGAGTGCGTTCCTACTCCTGTTGTGGGACCGGCTCCGGACTCCTCCGCGGGGTGCTCAGTCCCCTTTGTTGCCATGCACGGGACCGCGGAAGGGGCCAGCCCGCGACGGGACTCCCCGGTTTCCCTTCCGGCGCCCTGCCTACACCCGAGGGGGCCTCCGCGAGTTCACCGGCGAGGCAGGCAGGCAGGTGAGCGGAGAGCGGCTTTGCAGGCGGGGAGGGGCTGGAAGGGAAAGCGGGCGAGCGGGCGAGGGAGCGGGGCGGCACTTACATGGGCTGTAGGGTCCCAGGGGGGGGCCCGGGCCCCCCCCCCCCCGACCTTTCCCGGGGGCCCCGGTCCCTCTGCCCGGCGCCTGCCAGGGTCCCGGGGCTGCCGTGGGCAGGGGAGGTCCCAGACAGGGAGGAGGACGAGGAGGGAGCCTCGCGGGAAGGGGAGTCCGGCCCTTCCTTGCCACCTGTTGGGAGCAGGCTGGACCCCGAGGGACTTGCTCCCGAGGAGGCGCGCGTCCCTCTCGACGGGGCCCGGCCGGCTCTGGCTCGGGGGCAGCGTGCCTGCCTGGGGGCCTCCTCCGAGTCCCTGCCCGGCGGCGCACACGACACCCGCGACGCCACCGCCGGCGGTGCCTTCCCAGAAGAAACCCAAGTCCCGGGATGAGGAGCGCGTCCCTCTCGACGGGGCCCGGCCGGCTCTGGCTCGGGGGCAGCGTGCCTGCCTGGGGGCCTCCTCCGAGTCCCTGCCCGGCGGCGCACACGACACCCGCGACGCCTCCGCCGGCGGTGCCTTTCCAGAAGAAACCCAAGTCCCGGGATGAGGTGACCGGCCCCCCCCCGGGGGGAGGGAGGGAAGCGGCG